TTAGAATATTGTGAAAAGGTGCAATATTCTAGGCTCAAAGTGTCCCACTCTAATCAGCTAATTAAGCCATAACACCTGCAAAGGGTTCCTGAGCCTTTAAATGGTCTCAGTCTGGTTCAGTAGGAATCACAATCATGGGAAAGACTACTGACCTGACAGTTGTGCAGAAAACCATCACTGACACCCTCCATAAGGAGGGAAAGCCTCAAAAGGTAATTGCAAAAGAAGTTGGATGTTCCCAAAAGTGCTATATCAAAGCACATTAATAAAAAGTTATGTGGAAGGGAAAAGTGTGGAAGAAAAAGGTGCACAAGCAACAGGGATGACAGCAGCCTGGAGAGGATTGTCAGGAAAATGGCCATTCAAAAGTGTTGGGGACTTTCACAAGGAGTGGACTGAGGCTGGAGTCAGTGCATCAAGAGCCACCACAACGTCAGAAGTGTCTTACCTGGGCTAAAAAAACAGACCTGGTCTGTTGCTCAGTGGTCCAAAGTCCTCTTTTCTGATGAGAGCAACTTTTGAATCTCATTTGGAAACCAAGGACCCAGATTATGGAGGAAAAATGAAGAGGCACACACTGCAAGATGCTTGAAGTCCAGTGTGAAGTTTCCACAGTCTGTGTTGATTTGGGGAGCCATGTCATCCGCTGGTGTTGGTCCACTTTTCCTTGATTAAGTCCAGGGTCAATGCAGCCGTCTACCAGGAGATTTTGGAGCACTTCATGCTTCCTTCCGCAGACGAGCTTTATGGGGATGCTGACTTAATTTTCCAGCAGGACTTGACACCTGCCCACACTGCCAAAACCACCAAAACATGGTTCAATGATTGTGGGATTACTGTGCTTGATTGGCCAGCAAACACGCCTGACCTGAACCCCATAGAGAATCTATGGGGCATTGCCAAGAGAAAGATGAGAGACATGAGACCGAACAATGCAGAAGAGCTGAAGGCCGCTATTGAAGCATTCTGGTCTTCCATAACACCTCAGCAGTGCCAGAGGCTGATAGCTTCCATGCCATGCTGCATTGAGGCAGTAATTGCTGCAAAAGGGGCCCAAACCAAGTACTGAGTACATATGCATGCTTATATTTTTCAGAGGTCCGATATTGTTCTATATAAAATCCTTGTTTTATTGATTGCATGTAATATTCTAATTTTCTGAGATTGTGGATTTGGGATTTTCATGAGCTGTAAGCCATAATCATCACAATTATGACAAATCACGGCTTGAACTATCTTGCTTTGCATGTAATGAGTCTATCTCATATATTAGTTTCATCTTTTAAGTTGCATTACTGAAATAAATGAACTTTTGCACAATATTCTAATTTTTTGAGTTTCACCTGTATATACAATGCACATTTAAAGCTTCTGTAACTTATCATCACTACTAAGAATATTTGTATTATGCTTAGAGATAATATTTCTTATTGTCAAATTATGAATCATTGTGATAGAATTCATAAAGGTAATAGCAAAATTGGTTGTCAGGGAGGAGGTTTGATGACAGGTGAACATTTAGGTGATATTTGCCATTGAAACTATGGCATATGATTATATACATAGATGACATAAACAGCCAACAGTTTAAAAACTACCAATGGCTCATAAACATAACTTACAATTACTATCAATATATATAACAAAAAGCTGAAATATGGCAATTGTTCAATACAGATGCATGAAAATATGACATTTTCTCTTAAAAGCTAAGTTCGCTTTTGTAAAAAAAATAATAAATGCACATTTTTTGCAGGTAAAAAAAAATGTGCAGATATTACTTATTTCCTAGTCATCTACAAAATATTTCACCCAGGAATGGCATATCGCAGGTGCAGTGTTGGGCTCCTGCAGACTCTCAGTACAGCTGTCTTCCCATTCCTCCTGTATAGGCAGACAGTTACAGGAGAGAAGAAAGAATAAATGAACTGTGAAGGTGCTCACCAGAGACCTTACAGTTCATTGAGAACTACAAGCAGTGTGCCATGGTGCCAGACCTGACTTCATCTAAAATCTGTGAATGTATGATGCAGCTGTGTAGTGGGAACCCTGCGCAACTGAGCTGGTTTTAAATTGTGACAGCAGATGTGGGGAGAGGAACTCTCACCCTCTGTCACAATAAATCAGAGGGGGTTTAGGGTTGGACTGCTGTTTTTAAATTTTATTACAGGTACTTATATAGCAATTTGTGCAGAGATTTACATATATTTGGTACATTCAAATCAGTCCCTGCCCTCGAGGAGCTTACAATCTAAAGTCCATAACTCACATTCATATACTATGAAGATTATTAACAGATTAACTCTAAAAGGGTCTAATTTGGTTTCTCTATCCCGATTTTCCTGAAAATCTGCCTAGCAACTTCCTAATTGACAGTTAGATACATGGAGGACCTAATTCTATTTTCCTTAGACTAATTTGTAAATCCTTTCATGATTAGCATTAATATACATGTGAATTAAAAACTGTATCTCAAATTAAATTATATATGCCAATCTAGCCATTTGTAATGTGTCATATTTTATCTAGAATTGGTCAGATGATGATACTATGCATTCCAGTGCAAACTGACTAGTCATCATTTTATTGAAGATGAATGCTCTGTCAGATGCTGTTCAGAATAGGAAATCCTTACAACTATTAGATGGACTAAAACTAAGCTTGGGTTAGTGGCTTATGAAGCCTCTCTATCTAGCATCTGTATTTCTGAATATTTATTCAGGAAGGATAAAGGTGAAGATACTAATATAATCAGAAGCATTGATTAAAGTACAAATATATTTCCTGCTTAATAGGGGTTCTTCAAATGATGAGCAAGAGCTAGAGTGGAAGATTGTTGATTGGTTAAAGGTTTCTTAAACTGCACATGCCATTTGAAATCATCAAAAACATCCATGGCACCATAGGTTCAGTTTTCTGTAATACAGTGAAATATTAAGTACCTGATTTAATCAGTTTCAGAATGTATTCATTGCAATGCAAAAAAAGCATTTAGGAGCTTAAAAAGAACAAAAATGTAATATATATATATATATATATATATATATATATACACACAGTATATATGACGGGATGATGTCATGTCATAGTGGAAAATGGCACTTAGAATGAGGGTTTAGATTGCAGGATTGTAAAACCCTGGGTTCTTACCCTTAAAGAGTGACAGACTTGAGGACATGCGTTGTATAGAGAGAAAACAAGCTTGTTGGTTTTTTATCAGGGCTTAGTAAGTATTGGTTTTAGTCCTGCACAAAATAAGAAAAAAAAAAAAAAGCTGATTAACCCCCCCACCACCGCCCAGAGAAGTATTGTTTCACTTTGGTGACAGTATGTAAAAAATAAATATTTCAGAAAAATTGCATATATATATTTTTATATATATTTATATATATATATATATATATATATATTTGTGGGGTTAGCTCAGGTGGGGGATCTCTTTCCCTGGGAAAAAGGTAGACCGCACAGCAGGCTTTCGTAAAAATCTGACTGGTTGTCAGTTTTATTTAAAAGGTTTGCAACAAATATCAAAATAAACAAAACATCAAAATAAACCCTTGCCATCCAGGCACTAACTAAACAGGAGACGTTTCCTCTCTCAGAGGTGAAGGGCTTCTCCCTGTCACCAAAACAAAACAAAAGCAAACCTTTTCTTGTAGGTATAGTACATACACACAGCTCTCTCAGAATAGCTCTCTGAGTCCCAGGCCACGAGCGACTCCTTGCTCCAGCCCTGGCCCTTTTTTATATCACCTGTTGGTGGTCATCAGTGGAGCCCAAACTCTGGTCCGGACCCACCTCCTCAACTGTGGCCCCGAAAACCCGGAGTGGACTCCACCTAAACTGTCAGGTATGAGCGTATGCGAGGTGACACATAGCGTCCCTCTATCACCTCGCCGTTCATACTGTCACAATATATATATATATATATATATATATATATATATATGTATATGTGTGTGTAGATAGTTTTTTAAAAAAAATACTGTCACCAGAGCAAGTGTAGTGTCATTATGGTGACAATGTACTGCTGTGATCATATACAATGGTTGGTGGCACTGACATACAGATACCACTGTATGTCAGTGCCACCAGCCATTGTCTCTGATCACTACTGCAGCAGTACAGTGTCACCAGACCAGTACTTCCAGTCAGTGTCCCTAATCATTTCCACACCAGTCAGTGTCCCTAGTCACCACCTCCCACTCACAGTGTCTATGATCACTCCTGCACCAGGCACAACCGTCATATTGTCCATGATCACTGCCACCTCAGTCACAGTGACCCTGATCACCGCCACACCAGTTCTCATTTCCCTGATCACCGTCACACCCACCCCAGCATCCCTGATCATGACCACAACAGTCCCAGTGTCAGTCATAGAGTCACCACAAGAATTGTTCACACATGTGATGATCTCTGAGGAGCAATTCGTGTTCAGAGTACTCTTTAGAGAGCATTTGACAGGCAGTGAGAAGGCACTGTATCTCCTCCTCACAACCTGCTTTAACCCCCCCTGGGATCCCGCATGGGCACACAGGGGGTCTAATTCTTGCCACAGCTGCAAAGCAAAGCATCACACACATTTCCCACACATGTTGTGTTTTGGTTTGTAAATCTGTGCGTATGCTGTATGTGGGAAATATCTTATAAAATTGACAACTTTTTAAAAAAAAACTTTAATTTTTTTTCTGCATGTTCTAAAAACATGTGCATTGTATTGCTGTTCACCATACTGAATCACATGGAACTGTACAGCAGCGCACTGCATTACTCTGCTGTACAGCACCATGAGTGAAGTGTAACTTTTGTACACTTCAAATAAAGTTTGTTCCAAAAATGAAAGGGAGCTGTATGATGAGTTGAATCATGTACCACACTACCCCCTACCACAGCCAGAAACAGACAGCTGCCAGAGCGGTAAAGCATGCTGTCAGCTGTTCATTATAGTATGAATTCAGCCTTAATGCATACTGACATCTTTGAAAATGTTCCTGTACTTGATGAAGAGCCCCAGGCTCGCAGAAATGTAAATGTTCATGTATTTAGGGCAGAGCAACGGACCTCCACTGATAAGGTTTTGGTCATGGAACAAGGGGCGGACTGACAACTCATGGGGCCCCCCGGGCAATAGGGGATCATGGGGCCCCTGTCTCCTTGCCCAAACTCAAAAAAGCCTATGAAAAAGGTACCAGGGGCATCTCATGGGGCCCCCTACTGACCCCGGCCCTCGGGCAGTGCCCGAGTTTCCAAATGGTCAGTCCGCCCCTGCATGGAACTACTATGTCAAAAAATGTGAGTTGCAGAATAGATCTGCCATCTGTGGTTCTACAAGCTTGTGGCTTGTCCTTACCTCTTTGCTGATGTAGTTCCACTGGTACCTGTGGTTCTACATGCATGCAATTTCTTCCTGCTCCCTTGCCACATGAATCTTGTACCTATGGGTGTCACTCTCCTCCCCCACTGATTAATGTAGCACTAAACTTTTTTAATCAACATTAACTATTTTAATCCTTATGCTGCTGGCATTCGTAAATAGATAAGAAAGTATATTCTATATACTTGTTTTAAACAATTTTTTTTTTTCACTTAAAAATTTTATTGATTTCAACAAAGAGGTGATACAGAGTAAAAAAAGCGTTTAGAACTGCTGTAATTACATTTCTGAGCAGATGACATTCAGGTAACACACTATAGTCGTATATACAGGATGCACACCAGTAAGAGATGTTAAACTATTTTTTTAAACATTTTTTCACTCGCTTCCTTGACATACTACATAAACTAGAAAAGCTAAAATTTCTGGGGAAATTGTGTGAAGTGTTCTTGCCTCCAACAGTAGTCTACCACTGGAGTGGGCGGAGTAACTGGGTGGAGTGGCTTGTCACTCTGCTGCCTGCTCACACACCTGGGTTCCTATGGCAACTCATTCTACAGCAAGGGCAGAGAAGAGCGGTTAAAAACAAACTGCTCCAACTTGCTCACTTCACTGGCGGTTGCCATCTTCAAACGGTTGTAGTTTAAAAATTATAAATCCTACAGCGAAGAGCTTTATATTGTGAGAATCACAACACCCAGACCTACATTTTGTTGCATAGTATGTCTCTGAAATATTAAAAATGAACGCACAGTCACAGTTAGAAACTGCCCTTCAAATTTGAGGTGGCTAGAGGAGTTTCAATGAATGTCAATGGGCGGCGTGAGTTGCAAACAAATGGTCATATTGTGAAAACTATTAGGATTATGGCTTAGCCGTGGACATTTTTAGTGGCAGTAGGGATAAACTGAACGTTTTGATATAAGATTTGTATAGGTGGGCTTGAAAATGAGGGAGTGATGGCAGTTTAGATATCATGTCCTGATTTTTCAGCTCACACTCTAGCTTTTGTCAGCTCCCACTCTAGTTTTGAACATTCCGCCATTCATTCCTATGGGACCAATTTCACCACAAAAACGCTGATATTTCGTGAACCATTCGGCGAAACGTTCCACAAAGTAATAGCACACCAATCGGGAACAATCTGCACGTTTCGGTATATTACTGTTTATGTAGTGTAAAAACTGTGGGGGAAGTTATGGTGGTAAATTTGGCTGTAATAATAAGAATATATATGTGAGATAACAGTAAGTGGTCTTGCCATGCAAGAACACTTAATTATCTGACCTTAATCAAGATGTCCATGGCTAGAAATGCTCGCAGTGTTTTTAAAAGTGATTTCTTAAAAAAATAAAGGATGAAGACGTGGATAGATGGGTGAGATTGCTTTGAATATTTAAATTAAGTTTAAAAAAGCATTTTCAGTTTGTGGTGCTCAAATACAGTCTAGTTCCACTTTTTTATATTTGCACCATGACTACTCCCTGCCCAGCCTTCTAATCTTCATTATTTAGGTCATGCTTAGATCAGCTCCCATGGGCTGAGGAATAGGTTATTCCAAGCCCTAGGCCCCAGTTCCTAGAATTTCTACCTCAAGGCTGTGTAGATTAAGTCCATGTTCCTAGCACAAGTCCATGTTCATATTTCCTGACCTATTGTGACCCTACTTTTTCCTATGATGCTTATGACTCCTGTGTGTCTGGTTCCTTCCATAATGTGTTATTCCCCATGCACCTACCTCCTGTATGTTTCTTTGCTGACTGAACTCCAGTGCACCTGTAGTGAAGGAGGGATACACACCAATAGAAGGAAACCATTGCAGACTTATACATATGGATTTGTGTATAGAGAAGATACACAACATGCATTAATGAGTAGGCACAAAAGTTTGCATGTATGCTCAACACTGGTATTGTCTCTCAGCAGCCAATAAAATGTAGCATTGCAAAAACAGGTTTCTGAGTGGTTTTCAGATTGTATCTAATCAAATGCAACCTGACTTGTTGATTCTGCCTTTCCTTATAAGATCTGGTCTGCCTCCCAACCTGCCTCTGGACTTTTGCCACTTCATTGTGACATCAGCCTGCCTTCTGGATTCTGCTTACTATGTTCTGCCTTGTACATTGCTTGCTAATTCCTGAACTCTGTTTTCATTTCTTGATCTGGTCCTGCTGGGATTTTCCTGTACCTCAGTTTGTTCACCCATTCTGCCTGTGTCTCCTGATCTGGTAACCCACTGCCTGGCCGTGTCCACTCTTGGTGAGGGCTTGTAACCTGTAACATACTCTGATACCTCAGTGTTCCTGTGTTTAGTTGAACAGATCCAGTACTGCCTGAAATTTCAGCACTCATGCCACTTTATGCTCTCTTCACACTCTCTGTCACCACCTTCATATGTTCTGGGCAAGAGAAGCCTCCTCATCTATTCCGTCTCTACTAGATATGTTATAGTACTGACCTCAGGGTCTATCTGGGTACACTGGTTTGCCTCCTGTCTGACCTTTGACCTGGTTCCTGGATCTTCCTTTCATCTTTGCCCATTTCGGCTTTACTTGTCATCCTGCTCTGTTTCAGTATCTGCTTATCTCTGTACTTTTAGCAGGATGAACCTGGCACCAGCGCACAGCAAAACCCATTGCAATTATTAGGAGCTCTGGTGAAACCTTGCTGGTACTTAAACTTTGTGGTCCAAGGAATCCTTTGTTACCAGTTCACCTCCACCTATCTGCAGCTGGTACAATGGGTCCACATTTATTTGTCCATATATGATTTTTTTTCGGCCCGTGGACCCACTGACGTGCCTAGCAGAGACCACATCTCTAAATTTTTACAAGCCCCACTAACACACCATCCACCACATCTCAGTTGTCTGGGCACGCTCAGTCTATCTGCACTGGTGCTATCCTGCTTTTTAAAGGAATGAGTTTCTCTGCTCCCTGGGAAATCAGCACAAAGAGTAACATCTTTGTCCCTACACCTAGATTTAAATCACAGAACATCCATTTGTTTCTGACAGTGGTCTCCAATTTGCTACAAGTCTCTTCTTCTGGAGTCCCTGACCCCTTAACTCTTGGTCACATCAGATTGCATTTTTTTTCTTGGACTGCAGTTTTTTTAATCCATGGAAAAAATGCTTTATTATAACACAAATCTGCAAGAAGATCCTGTAATGTTTCTTAGCCATCAATAAGCCAATTGTAACCCCATCCTGTTTTCCTTTCAGAAATCTCTGCCACTATTCAAGCCCCAAAGCAGTGTACTTCTCATTATGAGACTTTAAACAGACTTTTACACTGCCTGCTAAACTTGATTCTAAAGTGAGTTCATAGATCCAGTTTTCTATGGCAACAGCCCATAACTGCACATCTGATCCATTTTCACTATCCCAAGTATTAAAACTTTATTGAAAATAAATTATGTAAATATTCTTCTACTTGCACAAAAGAAGAAGGCTCCCCTAACCATTCTGTAATTCTGGTACAATTCTGGTATCCGTCGGCAATCAATCCACTTTTTTTATGAATGTCCAGCTCCGTGAGTTTGCCTCTGATGACCAACCCACACTAGTTTGCTTTTGAGGATCAACATCCCAAGTTTGACTCTGAGGTCCAACACTTTGAGTTTACCACTGAGGTCCAGCTCCTTGAGTTTGCTTCTGCATGCCAAGCATGCCTCTAGGATCCAGCATCCTACGTTTGCCTTTGGGGCACCCTGAGCTTGTCTCCAGGGTCCAGCATACAGAGTTTGCCTCTGAGGTAAAGCATATTGAGTTTTCCTCTGAGATCCAGAACCCCAAGTTTGCCTTTGAGGAGTAGTACCCCAGGTTTGCCTCTGAGGCCCAGAACCTTGAATTTGCCTCTGAGGTCCAGCACACAAGATTTACTCTGAGATCTATCACTCCAAGTTGCCTCTGAGGCCCAGTAGCCTGAGTTTGCCTCTGAGACTTATTACCCTATATTAGCCTTTGGTGCCCAGCACCTTATGTCTGTCCCTCTCTTTTGCATTTAAAACAATTGCATGTGAGTTAGTTTCTATACTGTATCCACATCTGCTGATTCTAAGTACTCCTTTACTGATTCTGAAACTGTCTCCTCTGAGTCCACCTCTTATGAGTCCATCCCTAATTTGAGTTTGATCTCTACTGTATATGAGTCGGTCTCTCCTGTACGTGAGTCAGTCTCTCCTGTATGTGAATTTCTTTCTCCTGTTTTTGAGTAAGTCTACTTTGATTGTAAGATGACTTCTCTATTGTGGAAGCAGCCTATTCTGTGCATAGATCTGTTCTACCTGACTGGTGTTCTCTGCTCTCCCAAGACTATGCCAGTCTCAATCACCCTTAAGACACTATCTGTGTGACATATCTCTTAGATTCAAACAGTATCTTGCACTTCCAAGACCCTGGTAGTGTTTTGTCCACCTGAGTCTTTACTTGTGTCTTGCCTCCCTGAGACTTTGCCTGTGCCTAACACTTGACTTCCTATCAGTAAATCCCCCAATCTAACTTCACTAAATCTAGTATCTCTGAGTCTAACATTTCACTTCCGGGAATCTTGAGGGGTCCTGGTTTCAGCCATTTACACTTTGTTTCCAGTGGGCATTGCTCTATCCCCAATAAAGGTGTTGGGCTCTACAGTGCTTTAAACTGGGTGGGCTTTTCTTTATAGGTTCCAGTTTCTTGGGCATTTTCTGACACCTCTGAGAATCATTCTAGGGACTTTGGTGCTCCTGGGCTTTGCAACAATGATATGACAGACCTGGTGCCTTCTTTCTTGGGTTTAGTTTTGATCCAATTGGTTCCATTCTCCTGGGTGTTGATGCAGCAGGGTTCTCTGATCCACTAGTTGAGTTGTGGTTGGAATGGCCAAGATCAACTGTTTTGGGTAGAAGTAATGTTA